TTTTTTTTAGCTTTATCTGACCGATTCACCCGATTCCCGATCCGGATCGCCGATTCGCCGATCCGGATGGATTTTTTGGAAGCCCGATCCGGGTCACCGATCCGTTTTTTAAACCATTGCTCTAAACAATAAAATAAGAGCCTATCTCAAAAATTTTCATGTTGTTTTGATGCTCAAATATCCTCAAATTGATCATCCCGACATCGAGCTGCATGGATATGAGAAAAAAAATGGATTTTAAGTTTTGAAAATAGTGCATCTTGTAACGTATTTTTGGACCGTCAATTTTTGAGATTTTCAAATTTTTATAGATTTGTTCGATTTACACTATATTTGACGCTTTAAATTTTATAATTAAAAATAAAAATATATTTTAAAGCTATCATAAATATTTTCAGTATTGATATCACATTTCCCTATGCTGCTTAAAGGTGCTTTACTTTGATTGTTTAGAACCTCGGCTCTATACAAACCGCACCCTTTATAATTATTTATATATATACAAAAACTACACTCTCCATAAACTATGATTTTGAAAACATATTGAAGTAACATCCAAGCAAAAATACCAATACTTCGTATTTTTTTTTTGGTAGTTTAGAAAACTTGAGATATAACTGCCACTCAGGACCTTACGGGGTTTGGAGTTTGATGTTGCGTATATTGCTCTTGAGCCCCCTTAATAAGCGTTTCAAATCAAACATTCATCCTAGGAATGGAAGGTGGATGCCGTGAGATAGAGGCATCCTAATTCTTTGTTAATATATACATTAGTTACCAATTAATTCTAGGGAATGCATACTATGAAGGAAAATTGTTTCATGCAGGCTGGACCGCATTTCTACGATATACAATCCAGGGGTATAAAGCATCCATCTTAAAGATGAATGCAAATAGGTAATCTAAAAACAATTGTAATTAACGGTCCAATGTTTTCTTAATATAATTATTATTTCTAGTTTTCAATTTTATTTTATTTTTTCATATTCATGATCTCTATGTTAAAGATTATATATTCTCTAAAAATTAGGATGAAATTATATTTGAAAAATATATTTATTGCCAAGCCCACATTTCTACAATATGTAGGCTAGCCGCATAGAAATCATGCCCTACCATGAAATCATTTATCTTTATTACAATTACACAATTACGTGTTAGGATATAGATATCTCATGTTCATATTGATATACATCATTATAGATATATATGTATATATCTCAAATTAAGTATCTAGAACTCAAGTTAAGTATCTAGAAGATAGAGACCAAGTTACTTGGTCATCAAGTTATTATATCACAATTAGCTTATCTAATTGTGTGATTGTCTTCTATATGTACGTCTTGATGTGAGCTTTAATCCAATATAAAAAAAATGTAGCTGATTGGGGCTTTTGATCTATAATTCTAAGGTTTTGGTCTGAACTGTGTAAATGTTCGGTTCTCTCTTCATTCTATGTTCCCACAAATTCTAACATGATATCATAGCACAATTCTCTAGAACACCCCATCGATTTGATCTCGTTGGAGCTCCTATCGTTCGTCTTCTCTGCATAGAGCTGACCATCTCCAGTGAAGAAATTATATCCATCTTCAACAAAAAAAATTGACTCAACTTTGTGAATACGAGGAAGAAGAGCTAGAGAGAGAAACAATCTCCAAGAGGCACCTCTCCGGTATTTAAACCCCCCTCAAGCCTTTGAACCCCTATCGGTCTTACCCCCACCCGAAACCTTTTCTCATCTGAACCCCCCCCCCCCCCCCTCAAGCCTTTGAACCCCCTCGAGCCTTACCCGCACTCGAAACCTTTTCTCTTTCCTTTCTTGTAACCCTAGCAGATGACGAACCCAAAGCATTCGCACCCGTGGCCCTAGAACCCCAAGGAGCAGCGATAGTATCCTCTTCCTATTTGAGATCATTGAAAGAAGAGAATTGCAATATAAGGCCATGTCTTCAATGGATTGAGAACCCTGAGTCTCAGGGCAACGCTACTGTGTTCCTTGCCAAGTTCTATGGCCGTGTTGGACTCATGAATCTCATCAACGTCGGGCCTAATCATCTTCGCCCTGCTATCTTCCGATCTCTGCTGTATGAAGCCTGCGGGAGTATAGTAAACCCCATCTACGGCTCCGTGGGCCTCTTGCGGTCCGACAGCTGGCAGCTCTGCCAAGCCGATGTGCTCCGGCTGTTAAAGCCGTGTTAAAAGGCGCTCTACCAAACCGTTGTTGAAGTCGTGTTAAAAGGTGTGCCGATCGTCCAAATCTCCACCAAAGCCACCGCCAATCAGGGCCAAACCATTGCCCCTCTCTACTCAAATTAGGGCATAAGCAGCATCGAGGAAGCAGAAGATCCCATCTTGTCAGCAGCTCGATTTGTTGATCTCAGTCCACCATGATTGAAGCTCCACCATTGAAGAAACATTCAATTCCATCATTTTCTCTCTCATCTCTCCCTCTCAAAACAGAACCAGAAAATGATAGAGAGAGAGAGAAAGAGCATCAATCCTTGACAGTTCTTCCACCTAAGCTTCTTAATAATTTGATTGCCGGAAAATTAGGATTTCGATATTTTATATGTAAATGATAAAAGCTTCTTGAGAAGTGGTGGTCCATAGGGATCGTATTAAATCACCCTTACTTGAACGAGAGAAAGTCTCTATGAGAGAAAGTCTCCATAAAAAAAAGTAAAGAGCTCAATAAATCACCCTTACTTGAACGAGAGAAAGTCTCTATGAGAGAAAGTCTCCATAAAAAAAAGTAAAGAACTCAATAAAAAAAGTAAGGAGCTCAATAAAGTTGTTTCTTGAAAGACTTAGAAGAAAGTAGAGAGTTCAAAAAAGGTTATTTCTTGAAAGACTAAAAAAGAGACTTTCTCTATAAGTAGAAAGTCCAAGAAAAGTTGTTTCGTAGAAGATCATGGTAACATGTTAAATTTATCATGGATTTGATCACTATTCATTTTTTTTACAACTTAGTATTTTTCAAACTCCAACTGCTTTGTGTCAAAACATCTTGAGTTTGAAAGAGAATATTAAGATATAGATATCTTGAGTTCATATAGATGTATATATATTTCTCGATAAGATTAGGTATTTAAAAGACAGAACCCAAATTACTTGATCATCAAGTTATCATATTATAATTATCTTCTTTAATTGTGTGATTATCATCTATATATATTTATTAAAATAAACTTTAATCTAATAAAATAAAAATGTAACCGGTTAAACTTTGGATCCGTAGACATAAGACTTCGATCTGAACTACATAAATGTTCTGCTCTCTCTTCATTCTATACTCCTACAAATTCTAACATTAGTCTCTCCTAATCATTAGATGTCACATTGGATATTAATAGCTCCTTAACATTAGATGTCACATTGAATAGATTGGAGTGAATCACGAAGCTAGCTGCAATTCTTTTGAACTTTAATTGTAGTTAAAACACTCATGTAACACACCCAATTCAAAATCCGACCTAACAAAGCTATTGTAACCTCCTTGTAAAAATAATAATAATAAATCCCTTTGTATTCTTCTTAAGGAAAGTTGAAAAGACAGGGGAAGGGGAAGAGGAAGGACATGGACATCGCCCGTGTTCCTTGTCTCCTTCTTCTCATCAGTCTAATAATTTTGCGAGGGTAGTCTGCATATATTCGTCTGGATTTGCAGAGCACTGCATTTCAGGTGCAAATGATTCAAGTTGGGGTGGTTCTTTCACCTCAATTAATATGCATACCGGAAGAAGAGTCCCTTGTACCAAAATCAATAAGCCCTAATAATCAATCCAAGGATTACTTTTTACAAACGAATGAGAGAGAGAGAGAGATAGGATTTGTGAATGTATTTTGGAGCTCAATGGCTGAGAAGAAGGGCCAAATCACAGCAGAGAGAAGAGTAACAGTGAGAGAGAGAAGGAAGATGTAAGTCTAGCCAAAGAAGCCTGTCCGCCTCCAAACGGCATTACGAACGCGGCTCATATCGCGGCCCTTGAGGGTGCGACCGACGCCCTCGAACACCGAGGTGGCCGTCACGGTGTTGTCCCGGCTCCTCGCCAGGTACTCGTGTGGCGGAAGCCACTCCCCCTCCTCTTCCCCTTCATCCTCCGCATCGCCCATCACTCTAGACCAGTCGGGCACATTCATCGGTGCCGACTGCACTGCCCCATGCTGCTGCTCACTCTTCTCCATCGTCATCCCGCGGAACTGCTGTATTATCCTCGCGGCCGCCGCCGGATTTGTGTGCTTGTCCTCAAAAGCTAGGGACAGGCCCCCTTTTTGCTGCCCCTCTCTCCTCGACGGCAACCACTGCTTCGCCACCGTCGGGAGAGCAGAGGACGCCGATCTTCTCATCTTCGCACCGACATCAACAGCGTCACCGTCTTCCCTGGCTGTCGATGTCGATTCAGGTTCATGGAAAGCCCAGGACCACACTTCTTCTTCCCCGAGCTCTTCCTCCGCGTTGCCATGATATGAATCATGACTATAGGAGGTGCTCAGGAGTCTATCGCTCCAATCCATCTTGCTTCGGGTGCTCACTTTCGTCATTATGCCGCAGCAATATGAAACCCAAGAGCCGGGACCTGATGCAGATGCACCACCAAATTCCCCCTTTGGAGTGCCTATTTATGAACCCCCAATTTCATTGTGCATTTAATTTGGGCCTATTTCGTGGTTCATTTAATTTGGATAGCATTTCCTTCCCTTCAGATTTTACTTTCACTGTCTCTCTAAACAAACAAAAACGTCACTTCACCTGATGTTCTCAACACTTACAAATTCCCAAACTTAACCACCAAATCATATAAGCAAATAAATGGACTCCCCTATTATCGCCAATGCTTTGGTGTGCATTGGAAATCGCAGTTATTCCCACCCTTATTTGGTGATATTATATAAAAAGGTGCGGTTTGTATAGCGTTGAGGCCCTGACAATCAAAGCAAAAAGCACCTTTAAATAGTATAAAAAAATATGGTTTTAATTTTGAAAATCTATGTGATAATTTTAAAATATATTTTTATTTTTAATTATAAAATTTAAATCTTCAAAAATAATGTAAATTTAGTAGATTTATGAAAACATGGGAATCTTGAAAATTGATGTTTCAAAAATGCATGACAAGATGCCCTATTTTCAAAACTTGAAATCGATTTTTTTTTCATGTCCATGCATCTAGAAGTTGAGATGATCAATTTGAGAATATTTGAGCATCAAAACAACCTCTTTTAATGAAATTTTTGAGGTGGGCTCTAATTTGGTTGTTTAGAGCTATGGCTCTACATAAACTTTTTCCTTGTATAAATGGTAAGGTTTGTATAAGATGTGAACAATTACCATAAATTACCATATGGTGCATATCAAAATCTCCTTTAAATGTGTATTTTCAATACCAAAACTCTTATCATGGCTTAAAAGTCTATTTTTTGTTTTATAATGAAATTGAAAACTTCAAAAATGATGCAAATCTAACAGATATATGATCACTCAAAAATCTTGAACATAAACCGTCTAAATAATGTGTTAGAAGATGACACTATATTTAATACTTAAAATTCATTTTTTATTTAAAAAAATATCAATTGGAGAATTTTCTAATAACGAAATAACTTTTTTAAAAGTACTTCACTTCTGAAACTTATATAAATTTTTTGCAATCATATAAGGACTCCACTATTGTCGTCGATGCTTTGGTGTGCATAGGAAGTCGTAGTTATTCCTATCCGTATTTGGTGCTATTATATAAAAAATTAGTGTGACAACGTGCAAATTGAACTATGATTTATTTTTACCTATATGGTGTGCCTTAAAATAATCTCCTCCCGCTTTTGGTGCTATTATATTGCATAAATATGATTCATGAAACGCCTTTAATGATTCACTTCGCACTAAAAGTAAAAAAATATACATTGCCATGATTAAATATAGTATTTAATTTTGTCGTTTTACTAACTAGATTGAAATAAAATTTCAAACACGTTTGCACTGAATTTAATAAAAAATAAATTAATTAAAATATTTGAAAAATATTTTCCATAATTAAGTATAAAGAGTTAATATATATATATATATATATATATATATATATATATAT